ATATATATATATATATATATATATATATATATATATATATATATATATATATACAGAATAATTCTCTTTTAAATGTCTTCTAAATGTTAAAAGACAATATGCAAGATTTGTAAACACTGTGACAGAAATAACAAACTATTTCCCAGTGTGTTTTTTCAGATTCATAAAACCGTTATTCGTTTGTGAAATCACAAAATCAGATTTATATTTTAACATTTATTGTTGCAATAAGACTTCCTTTTAATTACACAAGCATAGAAAGCGCAAGACATACACATGTTGAACTTTGAAATGTTCTAAGCCGATAAAAGATTGTTTAATACAAAGTTTATGAATTGTGAAATCTTTGCTAACCATTACAGATTAGAATGCTTAACAAAAGTCTTCAGGCTGTTCATATGCATGTTTAAATGATTTCATGTATTGCTTTGCCTGATCTCACAGATCCAGTTCAGTAGATGCTGCTGGCAGTTTCCAGTGTACCAAGTCCTCATAGTGTCTCCATAGTAATGAAAAGCAGCACAGTTCCCACTCTGAGGTCCAGTATGACTGGGTTGCCCACTTCTCCAGTACCTGTGATAATTAATCAACACTCAGAGATTCTCACTGTTGTTTGTTAGAAGCTATGATGTTCTTTATGGGTTATTTTAATGACTAATAATGACAATCATTGAAATTCTTACATTACGGATGTCTCTGTCACATTGTTTGTCCATGTCCACGTTCCCAGATGGTTCACTTCACTTAGGCCGATCCAGAACCCGTTCATCCACCACATGCTACTGCTGTCTGTCCTCGGAAAATTCATACTTATGAGTTGCTGTAAACAACAGGACATATGTGATAATGAATTACTTGTCGAAATATAGTGAAGCCAAAGAGAAAACAAAAGCTTAGTAAAGTGAACTCTTTCTTTCAGGACCTCTTTCTGTGTTTTAGACAAATTCACATTGTTGCTGTAATTCAGCCCTTTTAAACAGGATTTACATTTTGACCCACCTGTTCCTCCAAGCTGTTGATTATGAGCAGGTCGCCTCCTTGGCGAATGCAGTCAGCTCTGCTGTCTGACCAGTTCTTTCTTGATTCCAGTTCATAGTTAGAAAAGTAGTAGCATGACGTTTTCAGTAGGAGCCATCCTGAAGGGCATCTGCCACAGTTTTTCTCTGTTAAATAGAAATCAAGACAGCTCTGTTTGTTAGCTGAAATTAGTTTTTGATTTCTGAAAACAAGAAAAGCTGCACTGTGTATCCCAAAGGCATTCCGTTTTTAGACAAACTTCAATATATTCTGTTGGAATTTTTTTTTATGGCAGGCAACACAAAGTAGTGCAAAAATCAGAGTCGAGAAGCCTCTAAATAAATTCCTGTGCATCTAAAAATTGTAAATGTGCTCTATAAATAGTCATCTAATGCTTGATTAATTGTTTGATTTAATGAATGTCTGCAAGAGACAGTGGGGAAAATGTATTTCTTAAAAACTTAAAACTACCAAGAGCAGATGCATTGGACAGGAGATTTGTCTTTTCTGTTTGCAGGTTGCTAATTTTCTTCTGAAGGCTGTCAGTCAGAGTCTTCTTCTGCCTCACGTCCAGCTTTAGTTGGACATAGTTGGCACGCTCTTTCTCCAGTGAGTTCTGGGCCTCCTTTCTCTGTCTTATTAGATCCGTGTGGTTGCGGAGGAAGTTCACCTCAACAAGGAGGGGTGAAGCAGCTAAATCAGGAACCTGAAGGTCTTTGGCGTTAGCACCTGTACAATAAAAAAAACTGAATAAGAGGACACAAACAATATGTCTGGCTTAAGAAGAAGCTTTCTGCTTAACACATTTGGTCCAGATCTCAACATTTAAGTGGAGGTTTGAATAATACTGTAACATTTTAGGTTACTAAAATTTACAGAACAATGTTTATTTTTGTAGCCTTTAACATACCCACAGTGTCTGACTTCCTATTAGTGTGGCAATCAGCTCAGAAATCTTTTGGTAACTTCACAGTCGTGTACAAACAGATTTTCACACTTACAGTAAATCCCAATGACAGCAGCAGAAATCAGTAAAGCAGCATTTAGCAGGCCCAGGCTTAGTACAACCAGTCGCTGGTGTTGAAATGTATATTCACCAATTTCTGCAAACAGACCTTAACAATATTCGACAGTGTTAATCCTCAAAGCTAATTCTGTATTGCTGAATTAAAAAAAAAATAGAAATAAGTGTGACATTTTAAAAAGCTGGATAAGCTAAACAAGAGGATGTTAAAAGGAAGCAATCATGGGAAGCTGTCATAAAGTTCATAGTAAAACTCTACCTTGTCCAAATATTCGTCGATGAGAAGGTGAAACCTCATCCGTGGTCAAATCTTGGTAAATCTTTCCTTCGAACGACATCTTTTCCTCTCTTTTTTACTCTGAATTCTGCCCTTTACCACTGCTAGTAGTCCACATCGATCTGTTTGTCCTGTTCAAACTAGTGATAAGAGGCACGGGCTCGTATGGTCATGTTTTAAATGGCGTTCTGGTGACCGTGTGACTGGGAGTAGACCTGTTGTACCGATACTTTTTGAAGATTTTCAGTACAAACATGTTGCAAGCATGTTGTATGGCTTAATTGCTGAATATTATAAATAAATTTTATAGATGTGTTTGTGTTTAACTGCCAGAGCTGGAAAAAAAATATGATCAGTATCTTGTAATAATGTTTATATATCTTTAAAACCAAAATAAGTTCTCATAAAGTAAATCAGCAGCACTTTGCAGGATGTTTGAGTTGTCTCAAAGAAACAGTGAGAAGAGAGTCGGAGGGAGCAATTGAATTGAATACCTTTTTTAGAATCCATAAGCTAAAAGATGGAAATAGTTTTAAATCTCATTAAAATGAGAAGGATATATTGACAAATGTTCTTTCTTGTTAAAGAGATGCTGCTCCTGTATTTGTTTTGTAGCTCTGGAAGTTAAATCCTTCCTTACGTTCACCCACAAAATAACCAAAGATAAATATTAGAACAAACAGCTAACTTGAATTTTTATTTTTGTTTTGGTAAGCTTATTTTTGTTAGTTTAACTAGCATAATTTAGTTTGTGTTAGTTTACTGTCTTTGCTTAGTTTATCTTAATTTATCTTTTATTTGAGCTTGGATTGTGTTGTTTATTTTGCTTATTTTTACTAAGTTAATTTATCATAAACTGAACTAGTAATGCAAAAATATAGCAGACAAGGTCACATTTGTTTGTATTACTAATTTAGATAACTTATCTAAAGTTAATTTAACATATTTTAGCATAGTTTGTGTTAGTTCACTTGGCTAAATTACCTTAGCCTTGCATTGAACTTTTTCTTTTTCACTCTTTGCAATGTATCTTAAATTGCTGTATAAAGCAGACCCTTTATTTAAACTCACCAATACATCAAGATGAAATTTATTGACAGTGTTTTCATAGACATGCAGCAAATAAATACAAGATTAATATTTGGACAAAAGCATAACAAATGTGGCACAATGACAACAAGTTTATATTTTTTAAATCTAATGTCAAAAATGGTAAGTCTTTGAATGGAGAGCTGTAAATGCAGTTTAAATGGACGTTAGTCATATAATATTTTTCTAGTCTGACTACTTAAAAGCACATTTTAATAAGACTCCTTTTGTCAGTCAAACTTACAATCTTCACACATACATAGATATGCAGATTAGTAGACACCTTGCTATGAATTGCTGCATGTGACAGGAAGCTTGTGTAATGATATACAGTTACAGCTTTTGCTGAGACACTTCCACCTCAACAGGCTATGGCATTACTGGATTCTTTTTTTTCTCTTTTATTATGGAGGTGTAAGTGAGCACTGTAGACTATTGATTACTTGTCCCATTTAGGAACTTATAAGTTGGTGCTTTCTCACAAATCCAGTTTTGTCTGGATCCACATTCTAAATCATTCCAGGCCTTGAAGAAGTTTTCATTAGGGTACACTGCTGCACAGTCCTCGTTGCTGTGATAATCATCTGGCTGCCCAACCTTCCAGTACCTGTAACAAATAACAGGCCAAAATCCATCATCCCCGTTTTCCAAATAAGACAGCTGTGTTACAATTGTTGAAACTGAAAAGAATGAATTATTTTAAGTAGTTCTGGCTCGCAACTTTTCAAAACTTCTAAATATATGTTCAAAATTAATCGTGATTATTTGCTATGTAACGATAAACAAAAGATTTGTGATACCATCACGAGTTAAAGTCCTTGTCAAAGTAAATGAGATATTATTGTTTAAAATAATAAACTCCTACCCTTCAACTAGGAATGTTCCGTCCAACCAGTGCCAGGTGCCTTCCTCTTTAGAATCTCTTAGTCCAAACCAGAAAGCACTTCTGCTTTCTGAAGGATTCTGAGCATGATTTAACAAGTAATTTACGATTGTCTTCTAATGGAGGAAAAATAAAATGTAATTGATTAAAAAAAAATAAATAAATAAAAAAAAATATATATATATATATATATATATATATATATAATTTTACAAAATGTAGATGTCAGAAATCTTAACTAACCTCTTTGTCTTTGGTGTCAATGACTAGAAGATCTCCTCCATAAATCTGGCAGAACTCTCTGGCTTTTTGCCATGATTTCAGCCCAGCGTTGTTAGAAGAGAAGTAATAACACACCAAGTTTATGAAGAGCCATCCTGGAGGACAGTGAGTGCAGCCATCAGCTGTCAAAGATAATAGCACGATTACAGAAAATTAGTAAAATAAAATGCACGCAAACTCCATCAAAGCTTTACGTAAATATACGTAGCATCATGTCTCACAGATCTGTGTTACTTGTGATCTCAGTTTTCCAAGGTCCTGTGTAACTTTCTCAATGAGCACTTTGTAGTCTTCAGTCCTTTTCCTCTGATGTTCGAGCTCCCACTTAGTTTCTTTCTGACTGTTCATTTCAGCGTCCAGCTGCTTCTGTGCAGCATATATGTTCTCTACTGCCGTCTTATATTGCTTGTGAAGTTCGCCGAGGTCTTTTTCAAGGATTTCAGTGTCTTTGAGTGTGAGGTGAGTTTCTTGCAATCCACTGTCTGCAAAGGCAGAAGAAAATCAGTCTGTTATGAGAAATATTATTTGCAGATATTCTTACTGAAATGCAACTTTCAGAGCAACACAACTTACAATGCACCCCAAGGGCAACATCAAGTATAAGTAGAAGACCAGCAAGAAGCACCAAGATTACTGCAGCCTGTCTGCTACGTCTCCCAGAAGTGAACAAAGTCACTAAGCAAGAAACATAAGGAAACGTAAAGAAATGAAACAGTTCCTAGTTATATTTATGTCCAGTATATAGACATCTCCATCTCAACGGTCTCAATATTTGAGCTTTACATTCAGCTATATGCAGTATTTACTTTTTTATTCTACGTTTAAAAAATATTTCTAAAGCAATGTTGCTTTGAAACCTATGTAATCTCATTTAAATCAGTTACACTGCAGAGTTTTACAGCTTAATATTTTCAGAGATTAAATTTCTAACATAAACAAAAGTGCATATTGTGGACCTTCAGCCTGTCATACCTGATTGCCTGCTTTGATTAGATATGCGGAAGGAATTACGTTCTTCAGCGTGGAATTCCTCTTCACAAATCAGCATGTTAAATCCATCAGGTTGTGTCTTCTCCATTGTCCTTGTTAAGCTTTACTCAGTCATGGACATGTGAATGCATGGATTATTTTAGACCTGCTTTTGCTGAGCTCATCAGTGATAAAATTCTGATGAATGTTCAGTTTTAAATTTGAATTTCACTTTTCTCCTGAAAGGAGAAGTGAAATTATCCTTAAAGTTCCCCCACCCAAATTATGAACCATGCTTCCTAAAAAGACAATGTTACTCTTAAAAGTAAAATAGTTACTGTCTGAAAAATTAACTCTGGCATCCAAACATGGCCCAGTGAGATCAATTTCTTGCAAAATTATTGTAATGATCATTTCATATTCCAGCTCTTCCTCATAAATATGCTACTGATATCAGCCCATTTATATTTTCCACTCAACTTTCACACATTTTAGAAAATATTGATTTCAGTTTCTACCTATAAGTTTCAATTAGAGGGTCAGAAGTATTCATCTACTGAATTTCTTCAGTATATTTGATTATTTGGTAACACTTTATTTGAAGGAGGGCGAATAAGATGGACATGACACTGTCATAAACATGACATAACACCTGTCATGAACATGAAAAAGCCTTCAAGAATATTTATGACTTGTCATAAAGTGTCATTTGGCAAATAATGACACTTTTAATACAAAGTTGACATTATTCAAAATGTCTTTGTTGTGACAACTTGACATTAACCAAGAAATCATTACTGATATAAATTTGTTATAAAAGTATTACTGATTGAACTTTAAAAATTAGGTAACTTTATGTTATTAAAGGTAAAGTTTAAACAGTAATGTCTTATTTACCCCCCTTCAAATAAAGTGTTACCGATTATTTTCAGTTCTAGCTGAATATTTATTTCAGTAAATCAATTCATTTAGTGAAATCACATTATAATCACACACAGGATGATGTTTTTCTTTATTTCTGTTAATTATGGTGATTTTCCATTTACAGCTCATGAAAATAACATTTAAGCTTAGAATATTACATCAGAGCAATAAAAACATATTTAAAGGGGCGGTATTATGTATTCTACTGGCATATTGTTCCATTTTAATACTATACATATCAAACATAACTTTAAAGAAATTTGACACTTTGAAATTGGCCTGTCTCTTTAAGAAACTCCTGCTCTGTCCGACACTGCCTTCTGCACATCATCACAACACTGCTCCTCCATTATGCCATTTACAACCATTCTTATGAGCTTTGTACTAAGAAGTAGTTCCACTTATGAGGTCAGCAGGTGTTTGTTAATTGCTGTTGCTGATAGTCTGGAGGAGCTGAGTGGGGAAGGTGTGGGTTGAATCTGGGGGGCAGAAACTCGGCGAAGGACTGTAGCTCCAAAGACGATCTTTGGGAAATAGGCGGTGCTTCATGAGAGCAAGTGTTAATGCATTAATTGTATGTCAACTCACTTGCAAATTTCATGTTCTCTGCTGTGTCCAAAACAGAATACAGCCCAACTTTATAAGATAGCAAAATACCAATTAAAAGTTAATAAAGATACTCAGAAACAAGGCTAAAAGCAAGCAAATAGAACAAATCTCAAGTAAAGGCATAATTTTAAAAATAACAGGAACTAAAGTTTTATAAAGGAACAAAAGAACTTAAAACATACAGCTTGATTCAGAGTCAAAATACATATAGAAATATGGAAATTGCAGAACACGAGAACTGAAAGTTTTAAACCTGTGGAGTGAACTGGATAGCTACCGTCAACAGTGACAAAACCAAAATCACACACAAAATAACCATAATACAAAGTAAAGTACTGATGACCATGACAGCTCTCATACATTGTTTTTTTTAAATCTGAAAAAACACAATCACAATTATGTGACACTTTCTCTTGTTTCAAAGGGCTATTTGTGGTTGTATTA